ACATTCTCTTACATTTAGTAACAGATTATAAGAAATGATTTTTAGTCTAAGCTCTATTTGTTATGCAACGTTTCAAAAAACACTTTTTCATTTTGGTAGCATTTCACGAAGTTGTAGACCACGTTTACGATTAAAACTTTCTAATCTTTCGGTGTTGAATGTCCAGTTACAAGTAGGTCTCACAAATTTAGTGGCTTGCTTTTTCATTCAAAGGAAGATGACTGGTCGAGTGAGCATGTGATGAAAAAAATTTTGCTTTCCATCTCCGTAAATTATACCTAGGTGAAATGCTCTTCTGCTCAGGTGTTGCGAATTCAATTATTTCATGCAATTCATCTAATGGGACGGACAAGGGAATGAGAACGTACAAACAGAACAAAGCAAAGCGAGATGGTAAGGTAAATGATTATCTACAGTGGGGCATTATTAGGTTAGATATGTAAGAACATGGTTATGATGCACACACACACCCAACTTCATAATAGTCAATGATATTATCGATACAACGAAATGCAGATACTAGTAGACAATAAATTACGCGGATAATCAATCACGGTAATACAATGAATAAATGGTGAGATGATTAAATGTTATTTAGTTAATAAAATATTGTCCTGAAGCTTTGAATAATATAGTTAATTGCATTAAAATAAAATTATCCACATCCAAACAAAATATATGTATTGCTGAATTATTTACAGTGAAATCCATTCAAGATTTCATTGGTCATTTTATTCACACTTCTGAAGCTATCACAAAATGCCATATGAAGGTGCAGATGTGATGGAGGCGAAATGAATAGCGAAACAGAATTTCAGCTCGACAAGTCGATTGCTTAATCTCATTTGATCTACATTATATATTGGCTTAGAGCATACGGTAAAAGACAAATCGAATCATTTACTATCTTTTCAGGAAAACAGTATGTTATTCAGCGTCAAGATATCACTGAAAACATGATGCACTGGATAGTTACTGTCTCTGGAGCAAAACGTCGGTGCAGATTCTTCCTAATGATGATGGCTGTGTTCAATTATTTCCAGTAATTATTCAAATTTGAAAAAATTCCCTCGATCTCACTTGCGAACGCCTAACCTGAAGACCGCTGTACCAACATCTAACGGTGTTGATGTCTGGCTCTAATAAATACTTGATACTGCGCAACCTCACTGATTGTCTTAGATAGGAAACTGTCTCCATTGAACAGGGTTCATTCGTAATTTATATGAAAGGTTTGGATTGATTAGTGCTAAACTAACTAATAAGAATGAAATGATTTCACCATACGTTTTACTATAGGATCGATTGGAGATAAGACTTTTGCTACATTATAAGTCTTCCCTTGATAATGATTTACAGCAGCACATGTGACTTGTCCGTAACAGAATAGAGTGACATTTTTAATCACGAAAACTTTTGACATTTTTCATGTCATTCTGTAAGTAACGTCTATGAATGTTAGAAACTTTGAGACGAAAATGATAGTTCTCGCTTCATTCTGATTGTTTGACATCTACTAAATATTCACAGAGATTAAGTGTTTGTAGTCGTTGCGAGGTACATTTTTCGACCGCTTACTATAGTTATTTGATTCAATCGTGGATCGACTCTCGTGTACCGTATGAGTGTCCAATCTAGTGGCAGTAGTAGCTCACTCATATAAACCAGTCTCATATCTAATTATTGTTGTAAACGACGCGAGAAAAATATTCGAAACAACTGTAGCTCTTACATATTCAAAAAGAGTTTAGCAAGGCACCGAAAATCTTTGAGCGGGTAATCTAAAATAACTCCGCCATTAGAACCTTCGGGGCTACTGCCGGTCCCAAGCCCGAGTAAAGGAGGAGGGTCGAACATGGGGTTGGCGACCCCATTCCGTCAAAAACTAACTTGCCAAAAAGACGCTAACCAGAAAAAATAATTCAAACCATTTTAACTCTGCCCTGGGAGTTGGAAGAAGAATTATGACCCCGCTTTATAAAAGCCGAGTTCCCTCGGAATTCACGGGGCCGATGCTTTATCTGACAACCAGAGCAGCCATCTTTGTAGGTACATGGAACGTTCGTACATTGTGGGAGACTGGAAGACTACTTCAAGTTGCGGCAGAAATGAAAAGATACAACCTCGAGGTGCTCGGCATCAGTGAAACGCATTGAACACAAGTAGGACAACTGAGACTAGCTTCAGGGGAACTGCTGTAATACTCTGGTCATGAAGAAGAAAATGCTTCACATACATAAGTAGTTGCACTGATGCTGTCCAAACATGCACAAAAGGCACTAATAGGATGGGAATCTCATGGACCGGGGATCATTAAAGCATCCTTCAAAACAAAGAAACAGGACATTACAATAAACGTCATCCAATGTTATGCACCTACCAACGACTACAATGACGACGTTAAAGATCAATTCTACAAACGGCTGCAGTCAATCGTCGAGAAATGTTCACCAAAGGATTTGACGATTCTTATGGGAGACCTGAATGCCAAGGTTGGCATGGACAACACTGGATATGAAGACATCATGGGACGACATGGACTGGGAGAAAGAAGCGAAAATGGTGAGAGATTTGCAAACCTATGTGCCTTCAACAAACTTGTCATCGGTGGCAGAATATTTCCGCACAAACGCATTCACAAAGCCACATGGATTTCACCGGACCACACTACTCAAAACCAGATCGATCATATTCAAGATAGCCCTCACCAATGGGTTAAAAGCCTTGTACCATATACTTAATGGAGAGGAAGCAACATTGGAGAACATTCGGAAAAGGATCAAAGAGGCAATCACTCCAACATGTCACGAAGTTCTGGGTCACAAGAAGCACCATCACAAGGAATGGATCTCTGTTGATACTCTTGCAAAAATTGAAGAAAGTAGGAACAAGAAGTGAGCAATCAATGTCAGTCAAACAAGAGCTGAGTAAGTTACCGCACAAGCTGCATACACAGAAGCAAACAGGGAAGTGAAGAAGAGCATCAAAGCTGACAAACGAAAATATGTGGAAGATCTAGCAATGACGGCGGAAAAGGCTGCAAGAGACGGAAACTTGAGTCGATTGTACGAAACAACGAAAGAGCTCGCAGAAAAATATCGTAAACCAGAACGACCAGTGAAAAACAAGGAAGGCAAAGTAATCAGCACAATGAAGAACAGCGACATAGGTGGGTAGAGTACTTCAAGGAACTCATGAATCGACTAGCTCCATTGAACCCACCCAACATCGAACCAGCATTCATGGACCTCCCAAATAATATCGGCGCACCTACGATTGAGGAGATCAGTATGGCCATCAGACAAATCAACAGAGGCAAAGCAGCAGGACCAGACAACATTCCAGCAGAGGCAATGAAAGCAGATGTAGAAGCAACTGCGAAAATGTTTCACATCCTCTTCAAGAAGATTTGGGATGAGGAACAAGTACCATCAGATTTGAAGGAAGGATACCTGATAAAAATACCAAAGAAAGGCGATCTCAGCAAGTGTGAGAACTACAGAGGCATCACTCTTCTTTCAGTATCAGGCAAAGTCTTCAACAGGGTATTGTTAAACAGAATGAAGGACTTCGTAGACGCCCAGCTTCGAGATCAACAGGCTGTATTTCGTAAGGATCGATCATGTACTGACCAAATTGCTACATTACGGATCATTGTGGAACAGTCAATTGAATGGAACTCACCACTCTACATCAACTTCATCGACTACGAGAAATCATTCGATAGCGTGATTAGGAAAACACTGTGGAGGCTTCTTCGACACTTCGGCAAGCCTGAGAAAATAGTTACCATCATAGGGAATTCTTTTGAAGGATCCAACTGCAAAATCGTACACGAAGGACAGCTAACAGACTCTTTCGAGGTGAAAACCGGTGTCAGGCAAGGTTGCTTACTCTCACCCTTTCTCTTTCTCCTGGTCATCGACTGGATTATGAAGACGTCAACATCTGGAGGGAGGCGCGGTATCAAATGGACAGTTAGGACGCAGCTGGACGATCTGGACTTCGCAGATGACTTGGCTCTTCTATCGCACACGCAAGAACAAATGCAAGAGAAGACGACAAGTGTAGCAGCAGCCTCTGCAGCAGTAGGTCTCAACATACATAAAGGAAAGAGCAAAATTCTCCGATGCAACACAACATGCACCAATCAAATCACTCTTGATGGAGATGCCTTGGAGGACGTTAACGCCTTTACATATCTTGGCAGCATCATCGACGAGAAAGGTGGATCGGATGCAGATGTGAGGGCGCGGATCGGCAAATCAAGTGCTGCATTTCTACAGTTGAAAAATATTTGGAACTCCAAACAACTTTCAAACAAAACCAAAATCAGGATTTTCAATACAAATGTCAAGACAGTTCTCCTGTATCGAGCGGAAACATGGAGAACTACCAAAGCCATCATCCAGAAGATACAAGTGTTTATTAACAGTTGTCTACGCCAAATACTTCGGATTCGTTGGCCAGACACGATCAGCAACAACGTACTGTGGGAAAAAACAAACCAGATTCCAATGGAGGAGGAGATCAGGAAGAAGCGGTGGAAGTGGATAGGACACACAATGCGGAAAGCACCCAACTGCGTCACAAGACAATCCCTCACATGGAACCCTCAAGGCAAAAGGAAAAGAGGAGAGCAAAAGAAAACACTACGCCTAGAAATAGAGAAAGATATGAGAGGAATGAACAAACATTGGACACAACTGGAGAGAGAAGCCCAGGACAGAGTTGGTTGGAGCAAACTGGTAACAGGCGTGAGTAAAGTAAAAGAGTGTAATCTAAATGTTAACTTGGACTAATTCTGTGCAACCTTAAATCATTTGACAGCTATATATACATTCAATAAAACATTTGAAGAGAAATTCAAAAACACTTTATTGATAAAGTAAAAACAATGATTATAATGATGAGAAGTATTCAGTATACATTTAAAATATTTTATTTATTTCTCATATCACATTGTATAATGATATTTAGAAGAAAAATATCAGAGATGATTATTTGACGCGTCCAGCTGTTATCTCAGATTCAATGCCACATACATTACTTCCACGTACTATTCGGAAATAACCATTCTCACCCCAATCTTCATTCCATGAATTAGCAATCAACCAATATGGGGTTTTCTTTTCAACACCCCATCCATTTATACGAATAGCATGTCCACCAACAACTTTATCAGTCATATTTTTATAAATTCCAGATTTATAATTAAGAAAATCTGCATAAACAACAAATACTGCTTCGACTGGTCCATATTTCATAATATCTTTTTGAATAGCTTTTTCGTTAGGAAGAACATTGTAAGAGAATTTACCTAAAATGTATAAGAAACGCAGTCAGTCATGCAATAGGAGTTGTTTCAGTAAAGTGATTATTTTTTTCCTTTTTTTATCAAAGTTCAATTTTACAGACTTTCAAATTCATAAATGTAAACTATATGTGAAAAATAGTTATGAAATGAATTTGATTGCTAGTGGGAATTGTATCTGATTGACTTTAATCTGTTTTTGTTTGACTGATATCTAATTGACATTCATAAGTAATTTTCAAACAAAATGCTTTGAAAATTGCATACCAATGATCAGGTAGTTGAAAATGAATATCGCGCAAATATATCATATTACTTTTCAGAACAATCATGTTTTCTCATTGTTCTATGAAGACTAATAGAATAAGTTGAAAAATTTGTAACATTTTTCATTGAACTAAACTCTATAAATAGAGAAATAAACCTTTTATGTCTTGGATGCCAATTGTCGCACACAATGTCAATAAACAAAATAAGCCTTTTTGAATATCAGTATACTTTGCTGGTATTACTGACAGAAATGTATTCTTTATTCTGAAGGTATAAAACATTTACAATGTAATCGGTGTTTATATATAATCGTGATGTTTGTAAAGTGTAATTGTGATTGCGACATATTTGTGTAAATCAGATACAGAACATTTTATAGTTGACAATGAATTAGTAATGACTAGTACTGGGAAAATAGTTACTACTTACCACTGTGTTTATCTTTCATGTAAGGGATTTTATAACTTTTCTGACAAGTGTGTTTACATTGAGGAGTTTTGTAGGTTTTCGTACCACATGCAGGATATTTTCCTTCACTATGATGTTCACATTTAGGGAATGGATATGGTTGACAGCCAGTGGGATTCTCTTTAGAACTACCAGTGACAATACCTTCATCCACCCAAAAATCCCAAGCGGCACCAGGAAAACCACCTTCACAACCAAATCCACAGTCAGGACAACAGCTTATTACATCAAGAGCAGTCAGTTCAACAGATCGTTTTACATGTGATTGTATGCAGATACGATCACTGATTGCTTCTACTGCTCCAAATGCCTGGAATACAGAAGCATTTAAAATATGCTGACGGTTTTGATCACAGCATGATATTTACACAATATTACTTATCCTTAGTTATAAAATGTCTTATATTCAAGATTAGGTTATTACTTGGTTGGTTTATTCATTGTACATCATACTGAGTGCATCCACTCAACATATTACGGAATACTTTCGTGAATAGACATGATAATACTACAATCTGTTCATTCATAAGATTCTCTACACAAACAGATATCTACAGATATCGAAAGTCATCGGTAATATGGTATTCTAATCATTAGAGCTTACCCAACATGATCCACATCGTGACTGATCGCGTATCATTGAGATACTTTTACAACGAGGTCATTCCTTTCATGCGTCGAAACTCGATGGAATTTCCACATTCCAATCACTATGATCGACTGTTGGACGTTTCTTGTTTTGCAACACTGGATCCTCTTTTCTTGCACCCATCATCATACGTGCATCATCCAATGATAGGAAACGTGTGCTTTTTTCAGATTTCCATCCAGCATCTGGCTGAAGAAAAGAAAAGTGAGAATCAGAAGTATTGATTTTTTGCTCAGGGAAAGTATTCACGGATTTTCAAGTAAAAAGAATGAAAATAGAAAATGCAACACTTCAAAATGTTCCACTATCAATCGTTGGTTATTCAGTGTTCAATCCCGAATATATGAAATCAAATAAGAAATATTCTATTGGTGATAACTTGAAACTTGGCATTCTTATTTGTCATTGTTTTAACAAGTTTTTAATTATAAAGAAATTCATTGTACACACAGACATACAATATTTCTGTTACTTCACATAGATGTTTCTTTCTCCTAGACATTAATATAGACAACTTACATGTTGATTGATATACGAGATCATTTCATCGGACAGTGGTTCAATTCTTTCAACTTTCTTCACTGAAACATGTGCTTCAATGAGAGTTAACAATGCAGCAATACACAAGACAGAGCCGTACATATTTAAATCAATCTTCAGTGAATGCGTCTACATTCAATAGGTCAACAAAGAATAATTGACTTATATAGTGAGTTGAAATATTGGACTTTGATCAATAATAGTAAGCTGTTGTAATTCTCAAGTATTTTTCATACACCGCCGTTAATGTTCAATTGGGAAAATATGCTTCAGTGAATAAACAAATCAAGATACTTATGCTCACAAATGAACATTCAACGTTGATCAACATTGATATGTGCAATAAAATTAGTGAAAAATTATTTTTATGAACTTAAATTTAGATTGTGATTTACATTCCAAAGATTATTTTGGATGTAATACAAGTATTGGTACTTGAAATGTAGGTAAATCGCAAATGTTCCTACTTACTTTGATATTACACCATTATTAGTTCATCGTAAATAGTAAACATATTCATTTGATTCGGTTCAACTTCATTTGTGTACGTACCTTTTGATGTTTAATGAGAAGATATGATTGTTCTGAAAAGTAATATGATATATTTGCGCGATATTCATTTTCAACTACCTGATCATTGGTATGCAATTTTCAAAGCATTTTGTTTGAAAATTACTTATGAATGTCAATTAGATATCAGTCAAACAAAAACAGATTAAAGTCAATCAGATACAATTCCCACTAGCAATCAAATTCATTTCATAACTATTTTTCACATATAGTTTACATTTATGAATTTGAAAGTCTGTAAAATTGAACTTTGATAAAAAAAGGAAAAAAATAATCACTTTACTGAAACAACTCCTATTGCATGACTGACTGCGTTTCTTATACATTTTAGGTAAATTCTCTTACAATGTTCTTCCTAACGAAAAAGCTATTCAAAAAGATATTATGAAATATGGACCAGTCGAAGCAGTATTTGTTGTTTATGCAGATTTTCTTAATTATAAATCTGGAATTTATAAAAATATGACTGATAAAGTTGTTGGTGGACATGCTATTCGTATAAATGGATGGGGTGTTGAAAAGAAAACCCCATATTGGTTGATTGCTAATTCATGGAATGAAGATTGGGGTGAGAATGGTTATTTCCGAATAGTACGTGGACGTGATGTATGTGGCATTGAATCTGAGATAACAGCTGGACGCGTCAAATAATCATCTCTGATATTTCTCTACTAAATATCATTATACAATGTGATGTAAGAAATAAATAAAATATTTTGAATGTATACTGAATACTTCTCATCATCATAATCACTGATTTTAGTTTATCAATAAACTGTATTCGAATTTCTCTTCAAATGCCTTATTGAATGTGTTTTTAGCTGTTAGATGATTTAAGGTTGCACAGAATTAGTCCAAGTTAACATTTAGATTACACTCTTTTACTTTACTCACGCCTGTTACCAGTTTGCTCCAACCAACTCTGTCCTGGGCTTCTCTCTCCAGTTGTGTCCAATGTTTGTTCATTCCTCTCATATCTTTCTCTATTTCTAGGCGTAGTGTTTTCTTTTGCTCTCCTCTTTTCCTTTTGCCTTGAGGGTTCCATGTGAGGGATTGTCTTGTGACGCAGTTGGGTGCTTTCCGCATTGTGTGTCCTATCCACTTCCACCGCTTCTTCCTGATCTCCTCCTCCATTGGAATCTGGTTTGTTTTTTCCCACAGTACGTTGTTGCTGATCGTGTCTGGCCAACGAATCCGAAGTATTTGGCGTAGACAACTGTTAATAAACACTTGTATCTTCTGGATGATGGCTTTGGTAGTTCTCCATGTTTCCGCTCGATACAGGAGAACTGTCTTGACATTTGTATTGAAAATCCTGATTTTGGTTTTGTTTGAAAGTTGTTTGGAGTTCCAAATATTTTTCAACTGTAGAAATGCAGCACTTGATTTGCCGATCCGCGCCCTCACATCTGCATCCGATCCACCTTTCTCGTCGATGATGCTGCCAAGATATGTAAAGGCGTTAACGTCCTCCAAGGCATCTCCATCAAGAGTGATTTGGTTGGTGCATGTTGTGTTGCATCGGAGAATTTTGCTTTTATATTTATGTATGTTGAGACATACTGCTGCAGAGGCTGCTGCTACACTTGTCGTCTTCTCTTGCATTTGTTCTTGCGTGTGCGATAAAAGAGCCAGGTCATCTGCGAACTCCAGATCGTCCAGCTGCGTCCTAACTGTCCATTTGATACCGCGCCTCCCTCCAGATGTTGACGTCTTCATAATCCAGTCGATGACCAGGAGAAAGAGAAAGGGTGAGAGTAAGCAACCTTGCCTGACACCGGTTTTCACCTCGAAAGAGTCTGTTAGCTGTCCTTCGTGTACGATTTTGCAGTTGGATCCTTCAAAAGAATTCCCTATGATGGTAACTATTTTCTCAGGCTTGCCGAAGTGTCGAAGAAGCCTCCACAGTGTTTTCCTAATCACGCTATCGAATGATTTCTCGTAGTCGATGAAGTTGATGTAGAGTGGTGAGTTCCATTCAATTGACTGTTCCACAATGATCCGTAATGTAGCAATTTGGTCAGTACATGATCGATCCTTACGAAATACAGCCTGTTGATCTCGAAGCTGGGCGTCTACGAAGTCCTTCATTCTGTTTAACAATACCCTGTTGAAGACTTTGCCTGATACTGAAAGAAGAGTGATGCCTCTGTAGTTCTCACACTTGCTGAGATCGCCTTTCTTTGGTATTTTTATCAGGTATCCTTCCTTCAAATCTGATGGTACTTGTTCCTCATCCCAAATCTTCTTGAAGAGGATGTGAAACATTTTCGCAGTTGCTTCTACATCTGCTTTCATTGCCTCTGCTGGAATGTTGTCTGGTCCTGCTGCTTTGCCTCTGTTGATTTGTCTGATGGCCATACTGATCTCCTCAATCGTAGGTGCGCCGATATTATTTGGGAGGTCCATGAATGCTGGTTCGATGTTGGGTGGGTTCAATGGAGCTAGTCGATTCATGAGTTCCTTGAAGTACTCTACCCACCTATGTCGCTGTTCTTCATTGTGCTGATTACTTTGCCTTCCTTGTTTTTCACTGGTCGTTCTGGTTTACGATATTTTTCTGCGAGCTCTTTCGTTGTTTCGTACAATCGACTCAAGTTTCCGTCTCTTGCAGCCTTTTCCGCCGTCATTGCTAGATCTTCCACATATTTTCGTTTGTCAGCTTTGATGCTCTTCTTCACTTCCCTGTTTGCTTCTGTGTATGCAGCTTGTGCGGTAACTTACTCAGCTCTTGTTTGACTGACATTGATTGCTCACTTCTTGTTCCTACTTTCTTCAATTTTTGCAAGAGTATCAACAGAGATCCATTCCTTGTGATGGTGCTTCTTGTGACCCAGAACTTCGTGACATGTTGGAGTGATTGCCTCTTTGATCCTTTTCCGAATGTTCTCCAATGTTGCTTCCTCTCCATTAAGTATATGGTACAAGGCTTTTAACCCATTGGTGAGTGATATCTTGAATTCGTTGAGCTTTACAGTATCCCGAAGTACTTCTGTGATGTTGTCTGCCCCATTGTTCAGTGCTTCTTTGGTTTCAATTTCGTTGTGGCGATCAGCAAGTGGTGATCTGAGGCTTAATCAGCTCCTCTCCTGGTTCTCACATCCTCCATAGTCCTTCTGAACGTTTTGTTGCTACAGATATGATCGATCTTGTTTTGAGTAGTGTGATCCGGTGAAATCCATGTGGCTTTGTGAATGCGTTTGTGCGGAAATATTCTGCCACCGATGACAAGTTTGTTGAAGGCACATAGGTTTGCAAATCTCTCACCATTTTCGCTTCTTTCTCCCAGTCCATGTCGTCCCATGATGTCTTCATATCCAGTGTTGTCCATGCCAACCTTGGCTTTCAGGTCTCCCATAAGAATCGTCGAATCCTTTGGTGAGCATCTGTCGACGACAGCAGCCTTTCGTAGAATGGATCTTTAACGCCGTCTTTTTAGTCATTGGTATGTGCATAACACTGGATGACGTTCATTGTAATGTCCTGTTTCTTTGTTTTGAAGGATGCTTTAATGATCCCCGGTCCATGAGATTCCCATCCTACCAGTGCCTTTTGTGCATGTTTGGACAGCATCAGTGCAACTACTTGTGTATGTGAAGCATTTTCTTCTTCATGACCAGAGTATTACAGCAGTTCCCCTGAAGCTAGTCTCAGTTGTCCTACTTGTGTCCAATGCGTTTCACTGATGCCGAGCACCTCGAAGTTGTATCTTTTCATTTCTGCCGCAACTTGAAGTAGTCTTCCAGTCTCCCACAATGTACGAACGTTCCATGTACCTACAAAGATGGCTGCTCTGGTTGTCAGATAAAGCATCGGCCCCGTGAATTCCGAGGGAACTCGGCTTTTATAAAGCGGGGTCATAATTCTTCTTCCAACTCCCAGGGCAGAGTTAAAATGGTTTGAATTATTTTTTCTGGTTAGCGTCTTTTTGGCAAGTTAGTTTTTGACGGAATGGGGTCGCCAACCCCATGTTCGACCCTCCTCCTTTACTCGGGCTTGGGACCGGCAGTAGCCCCGAAGGTTCTAATGGCGGAGTTATTTTAGATTACCCGCTCAAAGATTTTCGGTGCCTTGCTAAACTCTTTTTGAATATGTAAGAGCTACAGTTGTTTCGAATATTTTTCTCGCGTCGTTTACAACAATAATTAGATATGAGACTGTTTTATATGAGTGAGCTACTGTTAGGATATTCACCAAATATCCTAAGAATACTATTTTTAGAACTGCAATCCTATTGGTCGAATTCTATTGGCCGAAATTTCGATCGTTCTTACCGTCAGGGTCAAATACTTCAATGTTACCTCTTATTGGTCATCTGGACGGTCAATGTCATTCAAATGTCCTTTTCTATTGGTCGTCCTAAATTGTCAATGTCACAGACGTTGATGCTTTTTCTTATTCGACCTTAGTGTATAAATATGCGCTATCTGGAAGACTTAATAATTCCGTTTCCCCTGCCTACTTCTTCTGTTTACGACCCAATAAACATCTTCCTGCCACGGTGTTACGTTCTGATTCTAGGAGATTTGGGA